CTGTGTGTGTGTGTGTGTGTGTGTGTGTGTGTGTGTGTGTGTGTGTGTGTGTGCAGACAATTTTTATCATTTGCATGGCTCTTAGCTCTCAAGGGATGACACTGGTTCATTTCATTGCTTTTCTCACACTAAGGCTGAGGTTCTTACTATCCCCAGTGTCCTTAGAACCCAGCAGACCCTGACTTCTAAATCCACACACAGCCTTCTGTGCAGCCAGTGCTCTTTTCCTTTCTGTCCCCAGGGCAGACACACTTGGGCCTTTCCCTAGACTTCACAGCAGGTATTTCATGGGGGATGAGCTTCTGACCCCTTCCTGAACTGTGACCTTCTGCCACCAGGGCTCAATCTGTTAGCCCAGACTGCCCTGGGCTCTGGAGCATCTGCACTTGGATCTTCGTTAGGAGCACTGAAGGTTGGCACCATCCTATCGGCGTGCCCTGCCTCTGTCTTGGCTGTTGGTCCCAGTGCAGGTGAGTGGCCCTGCATGTCAGACACTCCTCCTTGGGCCCCAATTCTTAGTGAAGAACTATGACAAGACACAGTTTGCTTTCCTTTCTGCTTGTCAGAGATACAGATGGTTAGGGAATCCAGAGGAGTAGATGATATAAGATCAGTACAATTTTATTGAGTAGAATTTTATAGCATGCATTCATGCCTCAGTTGGGAGTCTATTGCATTGTTAAGTTCCTTGAGTTGTTCTAATGGCCTCAGAAGAAGATAACATTGTCTCCCTCCCCTTTTGGAGATGGGGCTTCACTCTATACCTCAGGCTAGCTCAGGAGCCACTATGTAAGTAGCCCAGGATGATTGCCATTTAAGCTTGTGACAATTTCCTGCCAGATTCCTGAGTGCTGAAATTATTATCCAAAATCACCATGCCTGTCAATGTTATTCCTCATTGATCTGAAGGGACCATTGTTCCAAGGCCCTGAGCAGGAGGAATTGTAGGGCTTCTCCTTCTGCTAGGGACAGGAAATAGAAAGGAAATTCAGGGCTCTGCAAACAATAGGGAAGTAGGGGTGATGATGGGAAGAGTCCCAGGCTGAAGTTCTAACACCCCCGTAAAGGCTTGGCTACCCCTGTGGCCATCAGTTGAGCTGGCATGCTGGCAATCAGACATACAGCACCTGTTTTTTTTTTTTGGGGGGGGCTTCCTGTCTCATGGCTCAGGCAGCCTGGTAGCCACCTCCCCTGCTTGCCAGTACAAGTGGACCGACAGTAAATGCCATCCAACCATGTTCTTGATGCTATCCCCTCCATATAGAACCCCATACACACACCTGTCAGTCTCCTGTATAAGCCTGACTTTCATTCCCCTGTCTTTATCCATAGGCCACTAGAGAGCTTCCTAAGCTCTCCAGGTTACCCTTTGACCTTCCGGCCCTACCAGCTTCAGAGTATTCAATCCTGGCTCCTGTGGCTGCAGGATACAAGGATCCTGCATGATGCCTGAGGGCTCACAGTGTTGGGAGCTGAGTTCATATGTACCTAAATATGATTCAGTATGGATGCTCAATGTCTAGAGTAATAAATTCTGTTCAGGGGAATGTGGGAAGGCTTCCTAGAGGAGTAAACAATGAATCGGTGTCTTAGTTCATTCAAACATGTCTCTTAAGTAGCACTCAGCCTGTTGGCGGTGGCCCACACCTACAAGACACAGGCAGATCTCTGTGTTCAAGGCCAGCATGGTCTAGAGTGAGTTTGAGGACAGCCAAGGCTACACAGAGAAACCTAATATCTGGAAAAACCAAAAAGAAAAAAAAAGTAACATTCAGGTAACATGTTTGCACAACAGGTGTTTGACCTTACTAGAAGAAGACCCTACAATGAAGTACCACTCTGTAAACTGGAGATTTCCTGCCTCCTGATGGGCCAAGGAGTGTGGTGATTTGTTTATGGTCTAATAAATAAAGCTTGCCTAAACATCAGAGTGCAAAGCAGGCCACACTATTTAGCGATGGAGGCTAGGCAGTGGTTGTATATACCTTTAAAAACAGCATTCAAGAGACAGAGGCACATGGATATCTGTTAGTTCAAGGCCACCCTGGACTAGATGAAATTGATCCAGTCTAAAAGAGAAACAGAGCTCACTCAAGGGTGATCTCAGCAACTGGGCTCACACGTCTTTAATCCCAGCACTAGAGAGGAATATAAGGCTGGAGGAGACAGGAACTCAGTGCAGTATGAGGTTTGGTGGATTGCAGTGAAGTCTGAGGAACAATGCAGTCTGGAGAAGACTGAGGTTCTGTGGGTCAGCCCTTAGGTTTGAGTATTGGTAGAGGTGAGAACTCACTAGTGGCTGGTTGCTTTGTTTATCTGATCTTCATCTTTAACCCCAATATCTGTCTTTGGTTTTCTCTTATTAAAACTAACTAGAATTTGAGCTACAAATGAGAGTCTGGTCACCCACATTGGCAGACACTGACCCTGCTTCTAATCAATTAGTATCCCTGTTGTGAAGGGAAGAAACCACCAGGGTAGCTAGTGTGGTTTGAATGAGAATGGACCTTAAAGACTCATATACTTGACTGTTTGGACACCAGTTGGTGGAAGTATTTGGGAAGATTTAGGAGGCGTGGCCTTGTTGGAGGAAGTGTGTCACTGGGTTTAGGCTTTAAGGATTCAAAAGCAGCATGTTGTCTTGCTCCCTACCCTGGTGGAGGTTTAGCCCTATATCAATCAATTCAGGACTTTTAATGACAGCTCCAGTACTCTGTGCTCACTGAGAAAGGCTACCACATTGTTTATAGTGAGGCCCACAAGAATAGTGTTCTTTTTTTCTTTTTCTTTTTTTCAGGAAGCCATGGCAGTCACTCTATTACCAGCCTATATCTCCAGCCTTTTTTGGCTTCACTGAACAGACCCTGCTTTGTGGGGCAGAGAAAAAAATGATAACACCAGCACCCTTCCCCAGAGCAGGCACACAACAAACATGCAAATGCCCAAGAGCAGAGCAAAACATACCTGAGATCTCTGAGTCCTCCAGAGTCCAGCTGCCAGTCCCTGCTCAGGGCAGACAGACGCACTTGGGTCCTCTGTCTCAGGGAAGGAAGGACAGACAGGGCTCATTCCTTCCTGTGAGCTGGATAGGGAAGGGGACAGTGGCAATCCTCTCATAGGATTTTCTTTTTGTTTCTAGCCAAGGCTACTGTTGCTGTGCTTGGTGGAGGTGAGTATCTTCAGGAAAGCGATGCCAGTCCACTCCTAGTTCTCCCTGAAAGCAGGGAGCCAGGAAGCAGCCCATTTTGTCCCAGTAGGCTTCCCTGGAGCGGGTGGGACAAAGGTGGAGATGGGATGAAGGAAGTGGCTAGAAAGAAGGACCTGAAACAAGGAGGGAGGGGAAGTAGTCACAGGCCACATCTTCAGCAGGTCCACACCACCTTGTGTGAGAATAGTCACCTTAGGCCTGGTGAATGCCTGTAAACTCCTCTGAGCTCCGGATTGCTTCCTTGAAGAAGTGAGCTTGCTGAGCTCATTTAGAGATGCCCAGGAAGCAGCAGAGCTAAAGTAAGCAGAGAGCAGGAATGCACCAGATGATGTATGCAGGCACCATCAGCTTGGTGGCTCTTGACATTCTCAGTGGAGACACAGCAGGGCTCTGGGTTGCCTCTTCCAGCCTCAAGAGTTGTGTCCCATGCATCTCCTGTCTCCTGGGGGAAGATGTGATCCTCTGTAACACTAACTTGGGCCACTCTCTGATCCCAGCATTAGACCAAGGCAGACACTGAGGCCCCAACAGCACCTTTCCTGAAGGTCTTGCTGCCAATCACAGTCAGCCCTGGACTCCATCTTCAGGGACAACATCTTTCTCTTCCTAAGCTCCCTAGCTGCTGACTCCTGCCTGGCTCTCTGGTTCAGAGCCTGCCCCTTGTCTCTCATTCTACCTTTGGTCTCTAGGCTTCTCCGAGGAGGCCTTAGAGGGAAGAGGGTAAGCCCTGACCCAATCTTCTCTGCTCATTGTCTCCTCCTCCAGACCCCAGCAGATTCCCTGGGTTGATCCAGTATGTTGGGGTTCCCTTTCCACAAATCTACCTGACACAGCTCCTCTTCCCACAGCCATGACTGTAGCTGCTGTGCCCCCTGTGCTAAGTGCTGTGGGCTTCACTGGGCCAGGAATTGTTGCCTCCTCTCTAGCAGCTAAGATGATGTCCTTGTCAGCTATTGCGAATGGGGGCGGAGTTGCGGCTGGTGGCTTGGTGGCCACTCTGCAGTCAGTGGGTAAGTGTCATGGCAGGAGGACTCAAAGGATGGCAAGACACAGCCCAGGTTCTCAGTTTCTGCTTTACCTTCCTTCTAGGTTTCATCAGGGGAGGTGGAGGAGGGAGGGTCGGATCCCTGACCAGCTTACCTGGGGTTCAAACCTCCACCTGGGGTCCAGCCTTCTTCCCTACAGAGGAGAATGAGATTCCACTGGATTGATTTTCCCTAGAGTTCCTGTATGGAATAGTTCCTTGCAAAAGTAACTGTGCTAGACACAGATCCTGGAGACTTCAGGAGTAAGGGAGATTCTGTGGAGACCTGTACCTCAGGCCATCCTGAGTGACCCTGGCAACTGAACCTCTGTGAATCCACAGTTTCACCCCATCTTACATCTTTCATCCATTGTTTCTCCTACAGGAGCTGCTGGACTTTCCATGCAATCTCAAGTCCTCTTGGGCTCTGCAGGAACTGCCCTTGTTGCTAGTGTGATGGGCATCTGTGGGAGTTCCAACCCTTCTGTCCCCAGAGAAGCAGAGGTGACACCTCCCAGCTTGTCCAACTCAGAGACTGACAAGTTAGCCCCAGGGGATGATCTGTCCTCCTGGGTTCAGCAGATTCTGATCCAGGGTTATGGGCCTCTGTGAGAGTCCCAGCCCCTTCTCTCCTCTGAGAAGAGGGCTTGGAATCAGAAATGATACCTCCCAGCTTTTCCAACCCAGACAGGGATCAGTTAACCCCAAGAGACAATCAGCCAACAACAAATGCCTAATTGGAAATAAGTAATAAAACCAATTGCTGCCAGCCTTATCATCCCCTTGAAATCATGTGTGTTTTTTTGGCATGGTAATGGTTGAACAGGGACCTGAGTTCTTTGGTACCTGCTTTTGGTGGGTTAGGCTCACCTCTTTCTCCTGGCATCTTGTCACAGAGACACATGGTGTAGGTGAGTGCTCTTGTGAAATGAATCCATATATGAAAACAGAAGCTACATGCCCAGCTTTGGTGGCACAGGCCTTTAATCCCAGCACTCAGGAGGCAGAGGCAGATGGATCTCTGTGAGTTCTCGAGGCCAGCCTGCTCTACAGAGTGAGTTTCAGGATGGGCTACAAAGATACAAAGAGAAACCCTGTCTCAATAAACAAACAAAAATAGAAGGAAGGAAGGAAGGAAGGAAGGGAAGAAAGAAAGAAAGAAAGAGAGAAAGAAAGAAAGAAAACAGAAACTCTTCTTGACTTACATTCATTCTATAATTCTGAGCAGGTCACCTCCTTCTTGGCTCCTCCCTAGGTGGGGAGGAGCCTAAATGACTTCTTAGATCATAGCCAGGTGGGGATTGGCTCAGTCCCTAAGAGGAGTTTTAGCATGGCATCTGCTTTGTGCCACTCATCTCAAAGCCACATCTTGGTTTGCATTCATACCACTCTCCCCACTATGTATCCAGTGATTATTTCTGGTGACCTGAGTTAAAACATTTTGTCTCATCTAGGTCACCAGAGAAACCCAAACCTCTGCCTATTCTCTCAGTCCTGAAGCCCCACTAGAGAAACTGAATTTCCCCCTTTATGTGCTCAGCACAGTCCTTGGCCATGCTGGGGCAGGGGGAATAGTTCACTGCTCAAACTTGTTCTCATGATGTGGTCATCTCTTCTGGCTTGGGTCCCCACTCCCTTACACATACAGAGTGGTTCTAGCTATTGGAGTGCCAGGAGGAATTTTCCTGGGGCAGAGGTAGTCCTCATCCTCCCCCTAAAGGAGTCAGCTCCCCACCCCTGTGTCCAAGACCAAAGTTATCCCTGTCTCCATTCGTAATTCATGTGTGCTTTTTATGCAGTGATGTGTATAATTGGAAGACTCAAACCCACCATTGTCTGAAAAATTTCAGGCCCTCATTAGCCTCCTAGAGACAGTTTATTATACCCACCAGTGATCTGGGATGATTGCCAACAGATCCTGGACACCTGCTTCATGGCCAAAGGCAGGGACAGACTGGAGCATGGCGGCAGATAGACCACCCTTGGGCCTGACAGAGGATCACTGCCAGATACAGTAGTACAGTTAGAGTGGGTTATCTCTCAGCCTGATCTGACTGGGACTCCAACATTGCCCAAGGTGATCAGACTCTGAACAATTCTTCACGGGTCCTTTTTACAAAGATTGAAGGCAGCTGCTAGAAAAATTACCAATATGTCTAAGGTGATAGAGGTAATAAAAGAGTCCCAGGAATCACCTATTGGGTCCCAAAGGGCTTGTGTGACCCTCACCTGATGTTCACTCCCATAGACCCAGAGGGACCAGAAAAGCATCAAACAACCAGTATTGGTTTTGTCATGGAGTCTGGCCCAGGTATTAGAAAGAAACTCCTGAAGTTAGAAGGGTTTGAGGATATGAGTGGGTCCCAATTACTGGAGATTGATCAAAACGTTAACAATAACTATGACTATGCAAGGAAAAAATGCAAACCAAAAGATTAATCTGAGCAGTAGCTGCAGTGCTCAGAGACACATATAGAAGACATCCCAGAGGGGAAGTCAGAGACACCAGGAAAGGGGACAAGGGCATCCTGTCCTATGTAAATGATTTCAAAGGGGGCAGGTGTCCTAGCTCAGGTATTAGAGCCTTGGAAGAGGCCAGTGGTTTATCTGTCCATCAGACTTGATCCTGTTTCTGTCCATAGGGCACCATAGCTATGCTAATAAAAGAAGCTGATAAACTGACTTTGGCTGAGGAACCATTACATACCACCACATATCCTGTTGATGCCCTTTTGAGGGGAGACCCGAGAGAAGTGGGTAGTCAATGCCTGAATGATGCAATATCATGCACTTCTCCTGGACCAGGCCACACCTGTTTCTGTAAAACTTCAGCATCAATCCAGCCTTGCTTCTGCCAGACAATAACCCAACAGAGCCTCTCCTTCCTTGCCTGGAAGTGACTGATGCAGTCCAAGACTGCAGACCTGAGCTAACAGATGCCCACACACAACCTTTTCTCTCTGTGTGTGCTCCCCCATTAGACTTCTGCGTGACTCTCCATGGCCCTTATTTCTATTTCTTTACATGAGATCAGATACCAGCCTCTGTATTACATGAATGTGCCTGGTACCTGTCACCAGAGTGAACAGTGTCCTGTGACAAAATTGTTCCATAGATGCCAGAATCCTCCTGTCTCGAAGCCCTTTGTGTGTCTTTGTGGGCTCTGTGTAGCACTGCATTTTGCATCACAGGGGCAATGACTACCCCCATGTGGTCAGTGTCCCAGGACATAAGGCAGGAATTTCAGCCTCCTTTTCAATTTTATAGACGTTGTACGGTGGTGACCATTTTTTATTCTATCTCCTTCCTGAGGCAGCAGGAAAGTAGCATCGCCAGTGCAGTGGGTTAGCTATGTGTTGCTCATAGCCCTGAACATCCAGGACCATTGATGAAGAAGGACCAAGAGCTCTGGGGTCAATGTTCTTGGCTACCTCTCACCTTTTCCCCAGGACAGGAACCTCTGTTAGCCCAGCCTTTAATCAGGAACAAATGAGGTACATAAAGACCCAAAAAAAGCCCCCATGTCAGAGAGACCATGTCCACTAAAACAGGGTTCCCCAAAGCCTCCTTCCTACTGACTGTGGGCTGGACAGCCTGTCACCTCCCTTTCATTTTCTATCTATCTTGGGAAACCTGAAGACTTGAAACTCCCAGTCCTCAAGTCCCTTTAAAGAGTCACCACAAGCAAAGGTAAGGACACAAGCACAGACATTTATTTTTCATCTTTCTCTGACTTCAATGAGGGATTTGGAGAATCATCTTGGTGTACATTGTCTCATGGATAGTGCTGATAGTCTTTGGGTTTAACTGGTAGAGGTGTCATCTCCTAAGTTCAAAGCAAGGCTGAAGCAGCTGCTCTAACAGAGCCCTGGATGACGTTGGATGATGTAGAGAGTCTGGTGGCCCCTGGGAAGGAGACAGTTGCAGTGACAGTGGCCTGAGGCTTAGAGATGCCCCACTACCTTTTTGCCTGAACCCTAGGGCTCTGCTTTAGACAGAGATATCCAAAGTGGACCAGGAGAAAACAGATTGGGTAAACAGAGATACAGCAGGGGGAGCTCTTCAGAGAGCAATGCCCCCTCCATATAGCAGGACAGAGGGGGACACACTGAGAAGGACACCCAGGTAGGGAAGATTCAGAGCCCAGGTAGCATGCATCTTGGACCAGGGCTCCTTCCTGCCTGCACCACAACTCAACCTCACTCACAATGAACCAGAGAGTAGTGATATAACTAGAAGACACAGGTCCTATGTAAGGTGGGAGTGTAGGGAGAGGAAGGGAGATGCCTTCCTTGGCTGGGTCTCCAGTCCTCTTGCCTGGACTGACACTTACCCACTGACTGCAGTGTGGCTACCAGGCTTCCTGCTGCAACTCCACCCCCACTGGCGATTGCTGCTGCTGACATCATCTTGGCTGCTATGGATCCTGCTGCAATTCCTGCCCCAGTGAAGCCCACAGCACCCAGGGCTACTGGAACAGCTGTGGGGAGAGGAGTTGGGTGGTATGTGCTCAGGTGGAAGACCCACTCTAGAATATGGGAGCACAGCTCTGACCCTGCCTCTTCACCCAGGCAGTCCAAGATTAAAGCAGAAGGCAAGAGCTGGGGGTGGAGTCCACAGCAAAGCACAAAGCTTCCACAGCACCCCCCTGAAAGGTTCAGGCATTATGCCGGCCTGCCCCTGTTACCTGGTGGAACAGGCAGTATCCTGGTCAGCCCAAGGTTCCATGGGAACTAAGTCTGCACACAGGTGCAGAGGACCCCTTTCAAAAGACAGATCCCTGCCCATTTACTCTCTCTGCTTCTGCTGTTTCCTCTCTACTCTCTCTCTCTCACCTATGCGCTCTCTCTGCAGCGACTGGCCATGGCGGTCAGCCATTATCCCTGTTCCTTTCCTCTTCTTAGTCTCCCTACTCTGCCGGGCCTTATAATAAACTTATAGTCAACATGTCTCATGTCTCAGCATTTCTCTTTTCTTCTTTTTAAACAAAAGACTAACACCCCCCGCCAAGCAGGTGCAAGAAACATACCTCCTCAGATTGCAGCACCGACCAGTTCTCCTGAGGAGAGAAGGGTGGGTAGGAAAGATTAGAGTTGGCTGATGTCAGTGAGTTAATTGTAAGACCCCCGGAAGCTCAGACCTCCAGAATCTTTTCCCAGGATTGCAGCCACCCCAATCATCATGAGGAGGCCAAAACTTGATGCAAACAGCAAGAGGCTTTAATGAAAGGTAGATGTTTGTACAAACGGGCTCTCTCAGCATGCAGGCTAGAGAGCAGCCCCGTCCCCCAGGCACAGGCGTTTTTAAAGGCAAAAACCACAAGCTTAGGGAGGGGTGTGACCAGAGTCATGGGTTCCTAGGAGGCCCTTTGTCTTGAGGAGAGGGCTGGGAATTAGATGGCCTCCTGACCCACCAGCTGTAAAACCTACAGACCTCGGTATATGCTTATCTTGCTTGAGCAAATGGTAGCTATCTCTTTGTTTCACAGGGACCCTTAATTGTTAATGATTGACACATTGGCCAGTGGGGCAATCTGTTTCCTTCATGAGCCCCTCGGGGAGGGTGGCCATCTGGGAATTCTTGGTACCCAGTTATCTTATGGCCTTGTAAGGGAGTAATTGCTGGTGGCTGGTAAATTCCAGGCACTAAGTCATAGTAGTAGCCTTGGTCAGTTTCTGAGCTATATTTCTTTGCTAATTTTTAAGTCTTTCATAATGTCAGGCTTGTGTCAGGGAGTCCAGTTCCCAGCCCATGGTGGGTGAGGGTTACTAACCCAACATAGTGAGATGTAGATGGTAAGCTTAGGAAATGATGTAAATCTGAGGTAGCCAGGAAAGACGCTTGCTAGTGAACCAATCAGCACATGGCCTGCCCCTTGCAATGAGTCAGTAGTCAGCCCCCTGGTGGAGTTTTGAAAGTAATAGAAGAAGCTACCCAGCTGTACTCACCAAACTTAACCTCTGAATAGATGGTGTCCCTTAGATTGTTTTCTGTCCTGACTGATGCTTAACTCTCTCTCTCTCTCTCTCTCTCTCTCTCTCTCTCTCTCCCTCCCTACTTCCCTCCCCCCTCGCCATACCATGCTGGCTTCAAATTCAGGACTCTACCTGCCTTTGTCTCTCTAGTGCTGTGTTAAAGACAGAGATGCATGGCGACAAATGTGTTTTTCTAATACAAAAATATTAAAGTGGTGGGTAAATGAAAAAGTAAGGCATAAAAATGGAAGGAAAAGACACGACTGCCCCTAGGCACGCTGGAGGAGAAAGTTTATTGCAGATATGTGTGACAGCATAGTCAGAGGTATGGATATCTGGGAGAGTCCAGAGTGGACATGACCAGGCTGAGCTGGTCCCTGTGGGAAGAGGGCAGGAAAGGGAGAGAGGAACTAGGTGCACCAGCCAGGAGGTCAAAGGTACAAAATGGTAGGTAACTAAAATGTCTGGATTATACAGGTTAGAGCCTGTGGGGGAAGGGCAGCCCAGCCCTTGGGCTGGAGAGTTCATGGTAGAGGGTGGAGTATGCTAGTTATACCCGTTAATGGATGGGGACTGAGAGAGGCTGGGCGAGCCTGGCTGCCCGGTCTGCTGTGATAGGACAGCCTTTTGTCCTGGGTATGAGATCTAATACCTATAAAACCTGTTGGAGGCCGGGTGGTGCACGCCTTTAATCCCAGCACTCGGGAGGCAGAGGCAGGCGGATCTCTTTGAGTTCGAGACCAGCCTGGTCTACAAGAACTAGTTCCAG